TTTTTATAAAAATTTGTTGAGTTTTTCTAAGCTCTGCATAAAAACTGAAAGTTTGATTTATATAGTTTTGGTTAAAGCATAAACCATGTTTTCATAAAAAAGTAACAAAAAAAATTTAACTTTAAAAACCTTGCACATGTACAACAAAAATTACCATGGACTCAGTTTCGCACTATAGTGTATGTATGTATGTACATATGAAATTTTTGTGTATGAATTTTGTGTAATAAATAGATAAGTACTTAGTTTTTAAGTCAACAGTGTAAATATTTAAATTTTTTTAATAAAAATAAACTAAACAAATTGTTATTTATTTTGTAAAAGTAGGGACACAAGGTAACACGATGTCATATTAAAATAACATTAAAATATGGTTCTTTTAACATGAAGACGTAGTGTTATTTTAACAACAACTCCTGTTGATTCAACCAGTATTTTCATGTAGAATATCCTGTGAAACCAACCACATGCCTTGTTAAAATAAACCGATGTTTCAGGTTAAATTTACAGCACTTTCAAATTAACAATTATCCAATGTTAAGTCAACAAGAGGGAAAAATGTTAAAAAATTTCCTTCATGTGAAAATAACATGACATATCGCGTTGAAAAATAATAACCACAAAATTGGTTAAAATTTGGTTGTTTTAACACGATTTTTTTTCTGGGTGTAGAAGGCATAACGTTATAATGCCTTCGAATTTTTTCGATTCTTTTAGGCATTGCCGGTAATGCAAAGTAGAATGTCCTACAAAATTATTTATTTAATTCGCTTCTTTGCTTCATTTCGGGGAATGCAAAGTAGAATGTCCTATAATATTTTATTTGTTTCGCTTCTTCGCTTCATTTAAGGGAATGCAAAGTAGAATGCCCTACAATATTTTATTTGTTTCGCTTCTTTGCTTCATTTCAGGGAATGCAAAGTAGAATGCTGCATCGTAGTCAGCTGAAAAAATAGAATGAATATCCAAAAATAATTTTCTACCGTTACTTTCTGTGGAAATTTGTCTCGCATAAAAATCATGTTTTGCTTTGTTCAATTTGCAGCGAAGTTGAAGTCAGTCAATGAAGTAAAGTAGAAGAGTGAGGAAGTACAATTTTAAGCTTAATTAAATATGCATGTATGTACATACCGATTTAAAAAAAAATCTAAATACCTAAATACATACATAGGTATGTATAAAAACCGATTTATAAACATTTTAAATTAATTTTAATCTTTTAAAACATTTTCTGATTTCAATTTAATATAAATAAGTAGATATGTATTTATCTAGGCATTCTACATTAGTTTCTCTGTAAGGCATTCTTTGTTCGCTTCTCTGAAGGTAATGCTGCGGGTAAGGGCTTACCGCCAATGACATGCCCATGTTAAAATAATGCCTTCTTAAAGCGAAATGGTAAGCAATTCCCATCGCCTAGCTCGTTTCCACTTTCGTTTCTGTGGTAATCGTGTTTTTTGCTGGGTTATATGATGGGAAGAAAAAGGTCATGTGATGTTTTTGCTTCCAGCGGTGGATGGAGGATCTACAGGCTTCCAAAAATGTAAGAAAACTAGTTACAAAGGTTTACTCGAGCGCGTCAGATATTGATAGTGAATAAATAAAACGTGTTTTTGATGAAGAAGATATGCTAATCTGCCGGTTTGTATGGTGGGGGTGGGTCAAAAATGGGTGACAAAAAAATTTACTCGAGCGCGTCAGATATTTACAAAGGATGTTAAATAAGCCCGAATTAACCTTCCATTCAATAATCTGACGATTCAGATGTGACGCAAGCTCGTGGCGTCTTCTTCAAGATGCAAAAACCAATTTCGCCATTTGGATTTACTCGAGCGCGTCAGATTTTCATACAGAAGGTTCATCTCGATGCCCTGGTCACGATTATCTGGAGGGGTTTTTTTAATCTGACGGTTTAAAAAAATAATTTCGTTTCTGAGATGCACAGTCAACCAAATATATGTTATTGTAACCATTTTTTCAAATTATCGTTGCTTTTCCACAATAAGTTTTCACTAAAAACGGCCTCAAGCTCATAAAAATTGCTGAATATAATTGTTATAAGGCAATATAAATTACAAAAAACAAATATTATTGTAAACACTTATTATTTTATCTGTTCAACTATCATAATACAATTCAATTTCTTATGCATTTTTCCCATCTGTAAAAAGAAGTAATTTACAATACAAGAATTTACAAGATATTATACCTGAGTCCCCTAGAATAGTCCAGCAAGTTTTTTGACAAGAATTCGATCCACAAAACACACAAAAACCATTTCCACTCATCATGAATCACAAAATGTATACCTTGTTTATACCTACGCAAGAACCGCATTAAGAAAACACCAATTGGATTTAACACATATTTCTTTCAAGCGTTTATACCTGTGTTTTTACCAGGGCCGTAGCCCGGATTTTTTTTCGGGGGGGGGCGGGGTTTCTGGCAAAATATTTTTTTATTTTCACTTTTAATTCAACATATTTTGGTTAAAAGAAAAATACTGATAAAAATAAAATATTTCACACAAACAACAAAAAATATAATCGATAATCGCATGAGGCTATTGCCTGAAAATTTTAGCACTTAGTGGCATTGTCCTACTATGAAAGTACGGCCCAGTAATCATATACTTCGTTTATACGCACGCATTATTTGCAAATAACAATTTGCAAAATGGTAAACTTTGCCGTATAAA